TGTGTTCATCCAGCTCTACACCTTGTTATCTCAGATTTTCCAGCATCTGCAGTTCCTATTATCTCTGTTTCTGGTATCATCCTTGTAAATCATCTCTGTACCCTCTCCAATACCTTAGTATCCTTCACTTCAAATCATTTCATCAGCCAGTGTTATTCAAACCCCATTTTATTTTGCACATGGAATCAAACTACAGCTCAAAAATAATGTTTATAAGGAAATACAGAACTTTTACTTATGTAGCATATTTCACAACCCTAGAATGTCCCAAAGTGCCATTCTTTGAAGTAGAGTTTTTGTTGTGGGTCTTTTTAGGCTTCCTTTTGTTAGATCCAGCTGTAGCCATATAGCACTTTAGTATTGGTATATTTTCATTACAGAATCTTAAAGCTCAAACAACAACAGAGGCAATTGGTGCAATTGCTGATTGTTTCTAACACAATGCCGAAACATTCTTCTGCAACTTTGAAAGAATTTTACTATTAAACTTTGTCCTATTAAGAGTCTCTGGCTTGTCACATCAGAGCAATAAACTAACACTTTGATTTTCAGTCATTTCCTGGAATAGATTCCTCAATACTTCTTTTTACTTGCACAGACCAGTGACCTTATTCCTAGGATTTAAAGTACCTCCAGCATCTACTGGATAGTAATAGGAGTCTTAGTCCACATTGGAATAAGTTATTCTATCACAACCCAAGATATTTTGTTGAATATTGAGCTGACAACTGAACAGAAAGGAAATGAAACACAAGAAATCGATTTTATTTCTGTTTAAGCACTTTCCTGATTACCCACCTAAATTGTTTCTTATTAAAGAACTAAACTTTAAGAGTGAATGTCATGAACTGACATTATTTATTAACTCTGTGAATGACACATTGAGGGAGGATTTCAATGAAATTACAGGACTGGTATCAAAATACAGATTAGTATTTTGTGATAAGATGCTGAAATATATGACATCCCTGGAAAGAAAATGCAGGTAAAATTTAAGCCCAGCCCCACTGTCAGAACATTATATATTGTGTATCTACATGATATTTATAAAAATTTCAAAGGCAAAACTAACATGCTATTTTCTTTGTCAGGCTTTGTTTCAGGTGTGATGTGGGCTGTTGCAAACTGCTGCTGGTTCCTGGCCAACGACTTCCTCAGTGCAGTTGTTAGTTTTCCAATAATCACCGCTGTAAGTTGATCAAGTTCTATCCTCATGCTGTACATTGTGGGGATGAACTCTTTTTTTTCAAAGACATTGCAGCTTGTTTCACTGATGTTTTTCAATCCATACTGATTTGTGTCAACTAAGAGAGTTTTGACATAGCATCATTTTCCCAGTTTAATGTAAACAATTATCTTAATACGCTCTATGCATTTATACTTAGGTGAAAGTTTTCAGAGCATTTAACACTTCATAAATTTTAATTCAAAGCACTAACAAGGTACAAAGTTAATATTTTTACAAAAATAGCTAAAGACAGCATGAGCAATTTTGTTTTTGTTATGAGTGGTTACGGTCTGAAATGCCCTGTCTCAGAGGGTGCTGGAGGCAAATTCAGTGATGGCTTTCAAAAGAGAATTGCATAAGCACTTCAAGAAAATGCATTTGGGTAAAGGGTAACTGAGTTGACTTTCCAAAGAGCCAATGTAGACTTGAAGGATTTAATATGCTATAACCATTATGATTCTGAAGGCAAATTCTTACTGGATCTGGTGGCAAGTTAGAAGTGGGAGGGGGATGGTGGCAGATCCTTGTGTGTTTCTGTCAACAGTCATTCTTATCAGCTGTCTGCAGACAATGGGACTGAGATGGAGTGCTCCTATTCGAAAAGGTGTCATTTAGCTCATTTAAGCCATTAGAGGCAGGAATATTTCTTGAGAAATTCATTTCCATGATGGGTTCAAGTGGCTACAGGAGCAGCATGGTAGCACACTGGTAAGCACTGCTGCGTCACAGCACCAGGGACCCAGGTTAGATTTCAGCCCTGGATGACTGTGGAGTTTGCATGTTCTGTCTGTGTCTGCATGGGTTTTTGCCAGGTGCCCCAGTTTCCTCCTAGATGGCCTAGAATTTGTGATTGTATTGAAGGTGAAATTCTCAACTGACAGCACCCTGTATAGTCTGCAAGAGTGAAAATCTGGAGGTCACTGACAATGGATCTCATCTCCTTCACAGGGTGCATTGTTAAAGGCTTTAGAGATTTTTAAAGAAGCCCAGAATCAGTGAGAAATTATAATTGCAAACAATTCTTGCTGTAAAAGCGTTGAAACTATGTTGAATGAGGTGCAACTGAGTTTTTAATTGCTGACGAATAACATCTCGCGTCAACTTTATAAATGTGGAGTTCATTCCTTCAGTTTGAAGTTTTATGATTTTTAAAATCAAAATTGATTTTTCTTCTCAGAATATTTTAACAGCTATCTTTATTCCCATTTTTATGTCCCAGTCTTATTTCACGTTATGTGAAATAATTAATGTTGTATTCCATGCATTTTTTACTTCACATGTTGTGGGAATTCCTTGTAGAATCAAAATCAAAATCCAGATTCAAAATCAAATCATAACCGTAGAACCAGCCAATTAATCCTTGTGGGCAAGTTTATTCTGAAATCAGCAGTCCATGTCATTTCTTTACAGCTAACTGCAAAATCTGAGCCAAAGACACTTAATGCTTGCAAATTTGACTGTTTCAGCCCCTTTCCCCACCATACAATCAACCTCAGATTGACACCCCTGTCCCACTTCTGTCCATTGAAGAGGTACTGGTGCCCTACTTCTTAGAAAGGACTAGGTAAAAAACATTAATGCAGTCAAGTTCTAATTGTAATGGAAGTAATTTTAGTATCGAGTTAGTATAGAGGCTTCAGGTCCACACATTGATAACCTTAGATCCTGTTCTAACCTCAGCCATTGACTCAACCAATGTATACAGGGTCAGAGGGCTATCTCTTAATTTGAACAATCCTGATAGATGTGTACACCACCATGAATGACATCTGAAGCATTTGATGTAGGAGGAATGAGCAGGCAGAGTGATGTAGCACAATTCTTCAAGGCAGTTGCACCAGCTGCTTTCATACATGATTTCACAAGGTTTATGAGCTTCAAATAAACTTGAATAGGATTTGACAAACTTAGACTTCTTTTAAAAATAACTTAGTCAAAACTGCAATATCTTAAAAGGCATGATAAGATACTCAAATGGCAATAATTATGATAATTGGAACAAAGACACATTCAGCAACATTTTCAATTTTTAAAATTCAATTTACAATTCTTATTTTTTTTGTGAAACGTTAATAAAAGCTTAAAATATACGAGTCAAGCCATTTAATTATCATCAAAATGGGTTTGGTTGATCAAGGTTGAGAGCCACCCTTGAATCCTTAAAAACCACAAGGATCCCAGGCTTATGAGGACGGTGTGAATCTCGACTTCAGCCTCTAAGAGGGCTCCAGACTGGCTGGCCAGTAGGCTCATTTGCCTTTATTTCATTAAACTAACTGGCTGCCCGTTTGAATACAGAGAAGGCACAAAGAAGCTTGTATCCTGAAGCTCACTCATTTCCCAGCAAACCCTCCTGTGATGAAGCAGGGTTCGCTTAATAGGACAGACAAAGTTTCTGAACCAAAGAAAACCAATGGAATTGAATACAGAGAATGATGGAGAAACTCGGCAGGCCTGGCATCATCCATGGAGAACTGAGAAGAGTCATACCAGACGTAAAGCATTAATTCTGTTTCTCTCATCAAATGTTTCATAAGATCATAAGAACTAGGAGCAGGAGCAGGCCATCTGGCCCGCCGAGCCTGCCCCGCCATTTAATAAGATCATGGCTGATCTTTTTGAGACTCAACTCCACTTACCCGCCCACTCACCATAACCCTTAATTCCTTTACTGTTCAAAAATTTATCTAGCCTTGCCTTAAAAACATTCAGCGAGATAGCTTCAACCGCTTCACTGGGCAGGGAATTCCACAGATTCACAACCCTTTGGGTGAAGAACTTCCTCCTGACCTCAGTCCTATATCTGCTTCCCTTTATTTTGAGGCGATGCCCTCAAGTCCTTGTTTCACCTGCTAGCGGAAACAACCTCCCTGCCTCCACCTTATCTATTCCCTTCATAATCTTATATGTTTCTATAAGATCTCCCCTCATTCTTCTGAATTCCAATGAGTATAATCCCAGTCTACTCAGTCTCTCCTCATAATCCAACCCTCTCAACTCTGGAATCAACCGAGTGAATCTCCTCTGCACCCCCTCCAGTGCTAGTATATCTCTTCTCAAGTAAGGAGACCAAAACTGCACACAGTAGTCCAGGTGTGGCCTCACCAGGACCCTATACAGCTGCAGCATAGCCTCCCTGTTTTTAAACTCCATCCCTCTAGCAATGGCAGACAAAATTCCATTTGCCTTTTTAATTACCTGCTGCACCTGCAATCCTACTTTTAGCGATTCATGCACAAGGACACCCAAGTCCCTCTGCACAGCAGCGTGCTGCAATTTTTTACCATTTAAAACATAGTCCATTTTCCTGTTATTCCTACCAAAATGGATGACCTCACACTTATCAACATTGTACTCCATCTGCCAGTCCTTTGCCCACTCACTTAGACTATCTATATCCCTCTGCAGACTTTCAGTGTCTTCTGCACACCTTGCTCTACCACTCACCTTAGTGTCGTCTGCAAATTTTGACACACCACACTTAGTCCCCAACTCCAAATCATCTATGTAAATTGTAAACAATTGCGGTCCCAACACTGATCCCTGAGGCACACCACTAGCCACTGACCGCCAACCAGAAAAACACCCATTTACCCCTACTCTTTCCTTCTACTGGTCAACCAATGCTGTATCCATGCCAATACATTACCTGTAATAACATGGAACTTTATCTTATGTAGCAGCCTTTGGTGTGGCACCTTGTCAAATGCCTTCTGGAAATCCAGATACACCACATCCACAGATTCCCCATTGTCCACCATGCAAGTAATGTCCTCAAAGAATTCCACCAAATTAGTTAAACATGACCTACCCTTCATGAACCCATGCTGGGTGTTTCCAATGGGACAATTTATATCCAGACGTGCTGACTTTTGTTTCTTTCAGATTTCCATCATCTGCAGCATTTTGCTTTTATAAGAGCAATAGCATTACTGACAAAAGTTTTTGGGCATATTATGATATATGACAAGGAGAGTTTCAGAAGGTTTTAAGGCTCTACTTCTTTGGTTGAGGAGCTGTCTAGAATGATAAGCAATTAGACGTAAATAGGTCTAATTTTTTTTTCTTTATTCATTCATGGGATGAGGGCATTGCTGGCTAGGTAGCATTTGTTGCCCATCCCTAACCGCCCAGAAGGCGGTTAAGAATCAACCACATTGCTGTGGATCTGGAGTCACATATAGGCCAGACCAGGTAAGGATGGCGGTTTCCTTCCCTAAAGGACGTTAGTGAACCAGATGGGTTTTTCCAACAATTGGCAATGGATTCACGGTCATCATTCGACTCTTAATTCCAGATATTTATTGAATTCCAATTCCACCATCTGCCATGGTGGGATTCGAATCCAGGTCCTCAGGACATTAGCTGGGTCCCTGGATTAACAGTCCAGCGTTAATACCACCAGGCCATCACCTCCCCATAATGCTTATACTTGTATAAACATCTGAATAATTTTCAAAACAAGGTTTAATAATGACATTTAGGTAACTTAATGGTTATTAACAATATTACTAAAGTGTTTCATTTCTGTGTGTGGTTTATGTATTTTGTGTATCCACACTTGTAGATAGTACAAGCTAAATTTCAAAAGATTTTACAACTATGTAAAAATAATTTAATACTGTATGTTGTAATTAAGGACCTTAATACTGGGCCCAGATGGGGCAAAGGTACTTTTTCAGTCCTGGACATTTATAAGAACTGAAACTGGATGCAATAAGAAAATTAATTTGAATATTCATTAGAAGTTTCAAATGGCTAATTGTTTTGCTTTACAGATGTGTTCCACTGAAATAATTCTTTCAGCTCTGAGTTTAGATGCCAACAGTGAGATGCAACTGATCTTTTGTTACATAACACTAAATTGCTTACTGTACCTAAAGGGATTTAAATTGTACTGCAGGGGAAAAGTAGCCTTGTAATTTACTAATGCTATTTTTAAGAGTCCTTATTTAATTTTCAAGAGTTGTGTACTTTTTCAAATGTAGTTTCATTTTCTAGGTAAGAGGACTTTTTATTCAAAGAAAATCCTATACTAATGTGTAAATACGGTTTCTTTCTTCAGGTACCTGGTTTCATTGCTGCTTTATGGGGGGTGCTTGTCTTCAAAGAAATAAAAGTAAGTGTTTATACCTTTTTTACATTGTTTATTTCTATAGTTTCATGAAATACAGCAACTTTGTAAGCTTTGGCCGAGTGGTCATAGTCTTGTCTGAGAAAGAAAATGGGTTCTGGGTTCAAGACAATTCATAAAATTTATTCATGTAGGTTGATATTTTAGGAGAGAAAGCCTTGCTGTCAAGTTTTCTCATTTACAACTTAATTGAATTGAATAATTATATTCCTCATAGTCTGTGCTTCAGATGTTCCATTAAAACTTCAAACATTTAGTTAAAATGACAGAAGCAGTGACTACAAAAGGAGGTATTGAACTGAATTTTATGAAATTGGCTGTGTCCACTAGTACGAGAGATAGGACCCGAGAGCGCAGCCTTAGATCGAAGGACCGACCCTTTAGAACCAAGATGAGAGCAAGTTCTTTATGCAGAGGATGGTGAGTCAGTGAAATTGGAGCCCGTGTCGTTGCGTGTCTTTAAGACAAACAGGTCCTTGATTAATAAGGGGTTCAAAGGTCACAGGGAGAGGGCAGGAGAATGGGGTTGAAAACGCCTTATTTCAAAAGGGTGTTAGAGATAAAACAGAGAATTATAGATAGTTAGCCTGACACTGGTAGTGGGACAAGTGGTACAGCTTCTTTATAAAAGAATTAATAGCAGAACCCTTGGAAAACAGTGATAGGATTATGCAGAGTCAGCATGGACTTACAACAGGGAAATCATGCTTGACAAATCAACTGGAACTTTCTGAGGATGTAACTTGTAGAGTTGATGAGGGTGAGCCAGTGGCTGTGGTTTACTTGGATTTTCAAAAATTTTTGATAATGTCAAACCCAAGAGATTTGCCATTTAAGACTGAGATGAGAAATTTTTTCACCCAGAGAGAGTTGAGCTTGTGGAATTCTCTGCCACAGAAAGTAGTTAAGGCCAAAACTTTGAATGTTTTCAAGAAGGAATTAGATATAGTCCTTGGAGCTAATACGATCAAAGGGTTTGAGGAGAAAGCAGAAACAGTGAACTAAGCTGGATGAGCAGCTATGATCATATAGATTGGTTGAGCAGGCTCAAAAAGCTAAATGATCTACTCCTGCTCCCATTTTCTTTGTATGGAGAGTTTGCCTTTGCCACAGTGACCTAAGACGTCATTTGTGACTTGATAAGAGTTGTTTCATAACTGTTAGAGGTGAAATTCAAATGTGGAATTCCAGGAACAGATTGAAGATGCCATAATGGATTCTGATTGGACTATTTTTATGCCCCTCTCTAATAATAGGCTTATAGAAAACCACATCGCCACACAAAGTTTAGATCAGTCAGTGATGTGGAGAGAGAAGTCATTGTTTATATTGAATATTGGACCAAGCTTCTGGCCTGTTCTGTCTCCAGATTTTGTTCACATTTTAAAGTAGATGATGATTTATTGATTCACTCCTTCAAAGAAAAACTAATACCTGAAAGACGTGCTGCAAAATATGTTGAATTCGTGTGGCATGTTCAAAAAATTTCCCCAAGTGTTATCTTAAAATCAATCAATTTTGTGAATTTGAGATAACTAGCTCGTTCTTTTCAAAGAAACATTTTTGTTATTAAGGTAATAAACCTTAAAAGAAATGCTTCAGAACTTACTTTATAAATATTTGCTTTGATCTATGAACTTTCCAGATGTGTTAACAATTTATTGCATGTAATGCTTGCTAAGTGGCTATTAACATAAAACGTTTTTGAAAGGAAAATATTGTAGCATTGCTTGTTTTAAAAGATTTTCTTTCAGAACAACTTATGAACTACTGGCTCAGTATGTTATACACTAGCTTACTGTAGCATTAAATTTTAGGATGTTAGGGCGGCATGGTGACTCAGTGGTTGGCACCTCGGCCTCACAGCACCAGGAACCTGGGTTCGATTCCACCCTCAGGCGACTGTCTGTGTGGAGTTTGCACATTCTCCCCATGTCTGCATGGGTTTCCTCCGGGTGCTCTGGTTTCCTCCCACAATCCAAAAATGTGCAGGTTAGGTGGACTGGCCGTGCTAAATTGCCCATAGTGTTCAGGGATGTGTAGCTTAATTGGGTTGTAGGGGTATGGGTCTGGGTGGGATGACTGAGGGTCAGTGTGGACTTGGTGGGCCTGTTTCCACACTATAGGGATTCTATATATATAAATTCTATATAAATCATGAATGTAATTTTTCAATCAAACGTCTTTGGTGATTATCCATTTGTTAACTGCAATATGTTAGTAAACACTAAGTAAATCAGTGCAGGTTTTGAATTTGTACCAGCAGTTACTTCAAAAAGCATACCAGTGGATGTTTCAAAATATCTGGATGCCTGGTATGGGCGATCTAAAAATAAATGAGTTCATTAGGAGATGAATGCATAAATTAGTAGAGGAACATAAAATGCACAGTGCTTATTGAAACAAAACAGAAATATTACAATAAACATTTTTAAAAAGCTCAGATTTGTTACTGTTTGATATGTCAATATTACTCATTTTTGGATTCCTCGAAAATAAAGAATTCTTACACTGATTTTGTGATTAACTTATTTATTAGTGACCTATATTTTTGTTTCTATTATTTAGAGCCACAATAAGCATTTCCACCAGTAGAAGTGCATCTGGTAGGAATCTGCTTTTCACAATTTTCTTTTCCAAGTTTTCTTCTCCCATTTTTTTTCTCCACAGGGACTCCAGAACTATGTTATTCTTAGCATAGCATTCTGCACTGTATCAGCCGGAGCATTAACAACTGCATTTTCCAAGGTGTAATTAATTGTAGTTGCAGAGAATGAACCAGAAGATGGCATCATTTTGAAATTGGTTGCTTTTAGTTGGAACAGTTTGGATCAAAGTTCTGCTTTTGATGTTACCACAGTCTCAGGCACTGTGCAGTGCCTTTCAACAGCTTTTTGTACAGCTTCCTGGAGAAGTAAGCCACGAAGTTGCAAAATTTTTGATTTAAATCCTTTTTATGAGTCTGTAATTGTTTTTTAATTGTGAAATGTTTACTGACCTTAGTACTGTTGTTCTCATTCAGAAATACTTAAATATTGCCTGAGGTGCTTTACTTGGGATCAAAGTTACTACAAATAAGAATTTCTAATTAATAAAACATTGTAGTGTAGCTTATTAAATATTTCATTCAGTAACAGACCAAACAAGGACACCAGGAAGTGATTAATACTAGTTAAAAATTAATAACTGATTCTTCCTTTGTTCTTTGGCAGAATTCTCATTTCTGAGCTTGAAGTTGTAGGTTCAAGTCCCATTCAGACATTTGAGCACGTAAAATTGGAATGGCACTCTAGTGCAGTATTGAAAGTGTACAGGCACTGCCTTGAGTTCCTCCTCTCTACTGACGAACATGTAGTGATCAATAAGACCCCTGTAATACATTATCTATCATTATTGCATTGAGCGCAATATGTGAACGTACAAACATGCAGGTGGAGTCTCCATGGTTCTCAGACTATAAGTAAATGCAAGTTCATTCTTTTAATTAGCACAAAACAAAATACAAAATTTCACTATCTATACGTGTGAGACTGGAAAAGCACAGCAGGTCAGACAGCATCTGAGGAGCAAGTAAGTCCACGTTTCAGGCCAAAACCCTTCATCAGGACTTTAAATTTCACTGTCTTTTGCCAAAATTGGACAGTACACTAACTATACCATTGGCTCAACCACTCATTGAACGCCAAATATGACCGAACTATATTGAACACTGTCGATCCCTTTTTGCCACTATCTTCATTGGAACTGGACTTTTTTCAAACTCAGACTTGTAGTTCACCCTGAGCTGAACACCCAACCTTGTATCCTCTACTACCTCTACTTCAAGAATAAAATAGTATCTCCCTTGCTTCTGTTACTGAAGCTCTTACTTGTTTACTTCTCACCCCCAGAGTCAACTACAGGAAGTTCTCACATGGTTGAGATCCCATGCCCTTAGTTAAAATACTGCATCACTTGTATTTGAAATGCTAAATTCATACATTGGCAAATGAAATAGCTATTAAAATAAAACTTTAATTATTAAAGACAAAATTAACCTCCTACTTACAGTGCATCATGTTGTCCCTCCAAAAGTGGAGCCTGGGTCTACAGTGGAGTCCTTTGTTCATAGTCAGCTACAGGATCTGTGGAACCATCGCTTGAATCATAGAATCATAGGGATCTATAGCATAGAAAAAGGCCCTTCATTCCATCATTTCTGCACCAGTCAAAAACAGCCATCTAACTATTTTCAATCACTTGGCCCATGGCTTAGTATGCCTTGGCATCACACAGGCACACTTAAATGTGATAAGGGGTTCTGCCTCTACCACCGTGTCAGGCAGTGAGTTCTAGATTCCTACCACCCTCTGGGTGAAAATGTTTTTCCTCATATCTTCTCTTAACTCTGCCCCTCACCTTAAATCTATACCCCTGACCCCTCCATAAAGTTTCTTCCTGTCCATCCTCTCCATGCTCCTTGGATTTCTATACATCGCAATCATGTCCCCTCTCAATTTACTCTGCTCTAGAAAAAAAGACAACCCCAGTTTGTGCAGTTTCTTTCCATAACTGAAACTGTCCGGCCCATGCAACATCTGGATAAATGTGCTCTCCACTCTATCAGATCCCTCTTATTATGTGGATTCCAGAGCTGCATATGATACTTCAGCTAGGGCCTAACCAACATTTTATACAGGTCCAGCATAATCTTAAACTCTGTACCTCAATTAATAAAGGCTAAATACCTTCTTAACCACTTAACCACCTGTCTTGGCACATAAAGGGACCTGTGTACATGTTATATAATGATATATCATTTATATATATATAATGATCCTCAGTGGTCCCCAGAGTCCTACAGTTAATCATGTATTCCCTTGCCTTGTTTGTCCTGACCATGTCTGGTGGTTTTTTGGGGTTGCAACATTCCCTCTATCTGGCTGCCACAGTCTCTGGGTTCCGTTTGGGCATCTCCTTGATGAAGGTGATCATCTTGGCTAGCTGTGGGGCTTTCCTCCTGCTGACTCGGGGCCTGATGGATGGGGGCTCTCTGATGTAGACTTTAGTAGTACAGCATAGGATGATGTGAGATGGTGGAGCACTGGATGCTTCAGGTTAGAGCGTGGGAGCAGTTGTACCAAAATGGTAGCAATCAGGTCAGTGACTATAGTAAACAACATTAGTACAAACCTTGTGAAGGCGAACGAGATTTCAAGCCTCAGTAACTTACTAATGTGAAGCAATACAGCACTAAACAGAGAAATATTAAACAAGAACTTCCTGTACTCCATACTGTCTTGCCAAGCCTCCAGATTCCATAAATTTCAACTAATGCAAAATTTCACGACCTGTATCTAATTTCTGCTTCAAGTCCTTCTCATAAATCACTTGATTACTCACTAAGCTACATTGATTCCTAATTCGCCATGATTCAAATTCAAAATTCTTTATGCTTCATTATTAGCATCTATTGATTTTTGTTCCTTATATCCTCCATAAACACTGCTTATTTCACTGAGCATCAATTCCTGTGTGATTATATTTCTGTGTAGTGTCTTTTTAATATATAATGTGTAAAACATTATAATTAATGTGCTAATCATTCTAATTGATTAAATGCGGGACAATTTAGGGTGATTTTGTAGTGAGTAATCTCTAAAGATTATTTAAAATTGTTTTTGGAATAATGTGATTATTTTCTGTTTCAAAATATCATTTCTCTTCCTGTTGGCTTAAGCAGGCATACATTGTATAAATAGGAAGTACAGATCAATTGCAAATAATGAGAATTATTTACTCTTGGGAGAAACGTTCACATCTTCCCACTGGATTTTAACGCACACAATTGAGCTACCTGCTTAGAACATTTTCTCATTCAACAAAGTCCCAATTAAAAATAGGGTGACCTTGAGCTTCATTCCCTACCAATCCAAATCAGAAATTCATGTATTGCCCAGGGATTACTAATTATTCATTTTGCTGGTTATAAAATGGTAGGCAACATCCATGTTTCTGATGTGTGCAACTGACAGTATGGCTGAATATGTTTCATGTTTTGCTGTATGTAATGCTTAAAAGCAAACTTTCTTCTAATTCAGTGTACCGTCTATTTCAGCTACAATGAAGAGTCATCTAGACTCAAAACGTTAGCTTACTGTCTCTCCACGGATGCTGTCTGACTTGCTGTTTTCTCCAGCATTTGTTTTCAGTTCATCAAAGTTAGCACTTGGATTGAGCATGGATTTGAAAATTTCACAACTTTCAAATCAATTTATGACAGCACAGATATAAATATTGAGACATCTCATTGAATGGGTCATGTTGACCTGAACCAGTTGGAAGCACAAAGGGACAGGAGAGTCAGATGTCTGAAATTATAAAGTGGGATTAAGTCTATCATTAAAAGTCGAGATTCTGTAATGTAAATTAGCCAGATAGAGATTATGACTGTGATCTACTATGGTGAATTATTGATACTAAATTTGTGAAGTAAAGATTAAAAAATTAAAATAACGTTTAAGAAGTGCACAGCGTGATAAGCAGTAGAAGAGATTAATTCTTCCAGAGTTCAATTAAGTGTTTTCTACATTCCAGTTTTGCAGTTTTGTCTTTTTATTGCCAACAGAAAGTGAAATGATAATGTTCGTATAATTCAAAGTGTTCACAGAAAACAAAATGTCACCGCAGAATACTGAAATGATGCAGTTTGCATTCCTTTTCTAATTAAAAACTTAATTGTTCTACACCAAAAGTGTATTGTAATTATCTTTGTTTTCTTGCTTATACAGTCTGTTTGTATACCTGGCTAGTTTACTCCCAATTTAGTTTTTGCCTTTTCATCAACTATTTGGTAATCCTTTACTGGTTTGTTAATACTCCCAGTTTTCATGTCCACTGATCCTTTCTGCAACATGACAAATCTCTTCTTTTAATCTAATAAGGTCAATAGCTTCCCTAGTAAGTCACAGATGGACCTCTCTTGCTTTGGTTTTGTTTATAATGGAATATATTTCTGATAAATTTTGAATAGTTTCTACATTTTTCATAATTCATTTAGTGACAAACTTTTACTCAATTTACTCAATCAGCCTTAGTCAATTGTGTTGTTGTAAGAAAACAGCTGGCTATTATTCAAATTGATTATTTTTGTTTGAGACTGGAGTATTTCATTTCAAATTTAATATGGAATTATGATCACACCTTCCCCACAAAATCCTTTACCAAACATTATTAATAAAACATGCCTCTTTCTATGATACTAGATCTAAATAACCTCTCAGAATCACAGAAGTGTTACAGTCCAGAAGAAAGCCATTCAAGCCATCGTATCTGCACCAGTTCTACTACCTAGTGCCAATCATCTGCTTTTCCTCATACCTTTGCACATTATTTTTATCCAAATAATCATCCAATGCCCCCTCGAATGCCTGACTTGAATTGCCTCCACCACACTTTTAGGCAGTGCATTCCATAACAAGTCAGTGATTTACTTTTTCCTCAATTAATACTTGCTCTTTTACAGATGACTTTTATGTCTATGCCCTCTTGTTCTTTTAAGGAGTGGAAACAGTTTACCTCTATGTACTCCATCCATCATGTTCATGATTTTGAAAACTTCTACCAATCTCACCTTGGCCTTCCTCTCTCCAAGGAGAACAGTCCCAACTTCTTCAATCTATCCTCATGACTGAAGTTCCTTAGCCCTGGAACTAATCTTATAAACTGCTTCTGCACTCTCTCCAAGTTGTTCACATCTTTCCTATAATGTGCTGCACACAACTTTACACAATACTCTAGCTGAGGTCTAACAAGTGTCTTATACAAATTTAACACACCATCTTAGAATCCCTATTTCGTATTGTTTTTCAATGTTCCTACCAAAATGCATCACCTCACACTACTCGACATTGAAACTCATTTTCCCACACCTCCAACTTGTCTGTGTCCAATGGCTCTACCTTGTTGTCCTCAAAGGTTACAATTCTTACAAGCTTTGTGTCATCTTTGTGCAAACTTTCAGTTTTATTCCTAAAGGCCAATGAGTCCCTGGACCTGATGGGTTGCATTTTAGGATGCTACAAGAATTATCCACAGACATGGTGGATGTACTGGAAGTCATCTTCCAAGGATCCTTAGATTTTGGCAAAGCCCCAGGCAACTGAAAAACTGCAAATGTGACAGTGTTATTCAAAAAGGAAGGAGACAAAAACAGGCTAGTTAGTTTAACATCTGTTTGGAAAATGCTTAGAGTATATTATGAAAGGATTTAGAAACACACAATATAATTAAGCAGGAGCAACATGGCTACATTAAGTGAAAATCATACCTAACAAATTTATTACAGTTATTTGGGGAGGTTCAAGCTGATAGACAAAGAAGAACCAGTAGATGTAATATTTGTAGATTTGCAAAAGGCATTTGATAACATATTAGGCTACTTAATAAGGAAAGAACCCATGGTGTTAGGCACAATATTTTAGCATGGGTTGAGGATGAGCTAACAATAGAAGACAGAGTTGGAATGAGGGTGCATTATCAAGATCACAATCTTTAAATAGTGGAGTGCCTCAGGGATCAATGCTGGGTCATAATTGTTTACAATATGCTTAAGTGATTTGGATGAGGGAAATGAATGTACGGTAGCCAAGTTTTCAGATGACAGAGTCTGTAGAGGATATAGACAGATTAAGTGAGTAGGCAAAACCTTTGCAGATGGAATACGATGTGAGAAAATGTGCAGTTGTGCACTTTGCAGACTCCAGAATGCTGCAGCACAGAGGGATTTGGAGGTTCCTTGTGCATAAATGACAATAATTTAGCATACAAGTTTGGCAGATAATAGGGAAAGCAAATGGAACATGCAAACTCTACCCTTGGGCAACTGTGTGCAATTTGCACATTCTCCCTGTGCCTGCGTGTGTTTCCTCTGGGTGCTCCAGTTTCCTCCCACAGTCCAAAGATGTGCAAGTTAGGTGGATTGACTGTGCTAAATTGTCAATAGTGTTCAGGGATGTGTAGGTTAGGTGTATTAGCCATGGGAATTGCAGAGTTACAGGAAAAGGGTAAGGGGATAGATCTGGGTGGGATGCTGTATGGTAGGTCAGTGTGAGCTTGTTGGGCTGAAGGGCCTGCTTCCACACTGTGGGGATTCTATGGAGGTGTATCCTTGAACACTGTGGGAAGTTAGGGAAGTGATTGTTGGGCCCTTTGCTAAGATATTTATATCACCAACCACAGGTGAGGTGCCAGAAGACTGGAGGTTGGCTAACGTGGTGCCACTATTTAAGAAAGGTGGTAATGAAAAGGAAGGGAGCTGTAGACCGGTTAGCCTGATATCATTGGTGGGCAAGTTGCTGGAGAGAATCCTGAGGGACAGGATTTACATGTATTTGGAAAGGCAAGGACTGATCAGGGATAGTCAACGTGGCTTTGTGCGTGGGAAATCGCATCTCACTTACTTGATTGAGTTTTTTGAAAAAGCAGCAAAAAGGATTGATGAGGGCAGAGCAGTCAATGTGATCTATATCGAATTCAGTTAGGTGTTTGACAAGGTTCCTCATGGTAGACTAGTTAGCAAGATTAGATCACATGGAATACAGGGAGAACTAGCAATAAGTCCGAGGGTGGTGGAGGGTTGCTTTTCAGACTAGAGGCTTGTGACCAGCATTGTGCCACAAGGATCAGTGGTGGGTCCACTATAGGAGGTATGGTTAGTAAGATTGCAGCTGACACCAAAATTGGAAGTGTAGTGGACAGCGAAGAAAGTTACCTTCGAGTACAACAGGACCTTGATCAGATGGGCCAATGGGCCAAGGAGTGGCAGATGGAATTTATTTAGATAAACATGAGGTGCTGCATTTTGGAAAGGCAAATCAGGGCAGCTCTTATACACTTAATGACAAGGTCTTGGGGTGTGTTGCTGAACAAAGAGACCTTGGAGTGCAGGTTCATAGTTCCTTGAAAGTGGAGTCCCAGGTAGACGGGATGGTGAAGAAGGTACACTTGCCTTCATTGCTCTGCATCGAGTATAGGAGGTGGGAGGTCATGTTGTGCTGTTCAGGACATTGGTTAGGCCACTTTTGGAATACTGAGTGCAATTCTGGTCTCCCTGCAATAGGAAGGATGTTGTGTAACTAGAAAGGGTTCAGAAAAGATTTACAAGTATGTTGCCAGGGTTGGAGGGTTTGAGCTTTAGGGAGAGGCTGAATAGGCAAGGGCTATTTTCCTGGAGCTTCAGAGGCTGAGGGGTGACCTTATAGAGGTTTATAACATCATGAAGAGCATGGATACGGTGAATAGCCAAGGTCTTTTCCCTGGGGAGGGAGAATCCAAAACTAGAGGGCATAGGTTTAAAGTGAGAGGGGAAAGATTTAAAACCGACCTGAGGGGCCACATTTTCATGTAGAGTGGTGGTCCATGCATAGAATGAGCTGCCAGTGGTAGTGATTGAGTCTGGTACGATTACAACCTTTAAAAGACATCTGGATGGGTATATGAAATAGGAAGGTTTTAGAGGGATATGGGCCAAATGCTGGCAAATGGGAATAGATTAATTTAGGATATCTGGTCGGCATGAACGAGTTGGACCAAAGGGTCTGTTTCCATGCCGTACAACTTTATAACTCTAAGAGAGAAAAAGTCCTTATTCTTATGATTGCAAGTTCCTGGATACTACTTCATGTCTCTGGATATCTTTTTTCTGACATTAAAGGCCACAGTTCACTGCTGTGAGTTAACTGCACATGGGAAGGTGGTTTTGGTGTATGAAATAGTGGCTCACAATGGGGACAATCCAGTTTTACAAAGAGTTATGATCCGTGATTGTCAGAATTTCCCTGTTGTCACTTGGTATAGATTTGGAGGGTGATGGTATGTGGAGGTGTTCAATCCTCCTCTTTGCATAAGAACTTTTCAATTTACATCTGTTCAAATTTTTGTAGTCAAGAGGTCTTATCCCCAGACATACTTCAAGGGCTCATTATAAATTTCAGATGATGAATTTATAATATCCAGGTTATTACCCTTTTGATTGGGTGGCACGGTGGCTCAGTGGTTAGCGCTGCTGCCTCACAATGCCAGGAACCCAGGTTCGATTCCACCCTCGGGCGACTGTCTGTGTGGAGTTTGCACGTTCTCCCTGTGTCTGCGTGAGTTTCCTCCGGGTGCTCCGGTTTCCTCCCACAGTCCAAAGATGTGCAAGCTAGGTGGATTGGCTATGCTAAATTGCCTATAGTGTTCAGGGATATGTAGATTAGGTGGGTTATAGGGTCTGGGTGGGATGCTCTGAGGGTCAGTGTGGACTTATTGGGCCGAAGGGCCTGTTTCCACATTGTCGGGATTCTGTGAAATGATTGTTTATTTTTGGAGTGTGGTAGTAAGTCCCAGACATTAGGTATTCCTTTGTAATTTCTTGAGAGCTTCAGATCAAGTGACTTAGGTAGCCATTTCAATGTGTCCCAGCTCATTTTTAATTGTTTTTCTTTCAACACTAAAGTCCAAGGCTTTAAAAGTAGTGATTGAGATTCTAAAGGTTAGTAGTTTCTACTTTTTATCATAATGACCATCTACGGAATGCACTGCAGCAACTCACTAAGACTCTTTAGGCACTACCAACCCATCAATCTCAACCACCTTGAAGGACAAGGGCAGTTGATGCATATTTCTCTCCAAGCTACACAATATTTTGACTTGGAACTACATTGCCACTCCTTTGCTGCTACTGTATCAAAACACCTGGATCTTCCTTCCTCA